GGGGAGGGGATGAGGGAGAGGGGCGGATAAGCGAGACCCAAGCTGAGGATGGAAAGTGGAAAGGGAAAAACGAAGGAAAGCTGAGCAAGTGAGAAGGAAGGAGGGGGGAAGAGAGGGAGAAGAGGTGGGTAGGTATGTTGGGTGGGTGGGAGGGAGGGAGGGAGGGAGGGACTGTGGCAAGTACCTGCCCCGCGGCAGCTTCCTGGGGCGCCTGCCTGCTGGGGTTGGGTTCGATGGAGTCAAAGACGACTCTGTTCATCACAGCAGAGGGGTTGTGAGCTCTCTTTGCGTCATGCGCCATCATCATCGGGATAATCCCCTCCTTCGTTTCATTCAGCGGCTCCTCCTCCCTTGGGCACTCTGCGACATGCCGGGGAGGAGGCCACATCAGCTCGCACGAGGTTCCAGTGAGAGGAGGAGAGAGTTTCTGCGATGGTCATGTAAGCAAGAAGCTTCTTCTGCGAGCAGAGGAGCGAGGCAACAAGATCAGAATGCGGGGGGAGCGGCGTTGGGCAAGAGCAGGAACCAACCTTGAGCAGGTCTTCGTCGGATACAGCAGCCGCTGCTTTCTCCTCCTCGACCGGAGGTTCGACATGATCGCACTGATACAAGAGATCGACATTCCTCAGCTCCTGTGTCAAGGCAAGCTGTCATTACGGCACAATGACACGAAATTCAGCATACTCGACTCTGAACACCCGACTGCAAATTCCCAATGTCATTGTTGACAGCAGCAATGAGCTCTGCGGAGAGCATGGAGGTCAGTCTTCACCGCACTTTGAAGTCCAAGAGCGAATCATTTCACCTCGCAAGTCCATTGCACCTCCGCACACAAAGAGACCGATCTCAACAAGTTCAACTCTGCCGACCGCTGATCCCCTCTCCGGTCATCCCCGCATCACATATCTTTGTTGGTCCTCACTGTCCAAGGGCAAGATTTTCGAGCATCCGCCGGGATCATCAGTCCTGGACATCATTGATTCAATCACTTCACATCTGTTCCTTGCAATGTTGTCTTGTCATGGACTTCATTCTTCAACCCGACCGATAAGTGCTATCTCGGAATTGTTGAGCACAAAACATTTGTGCTGAACAGCACTCTTGAAAATTCATAGACTAACGACGATATGTATATACCATGACAAGCACCACAACTCATCATTACATGTCCTCTGATTCCCCTAGTTATCGTATCAAAGTACATATCCATCGCTCTTCACGACAACAACATTCTCCCTTCAATCATCATCTCCCATCATCCACAACTGCTCTCTTCTTCATGCCCCAGCCAACATCCACGTCCTCATGTATTCCTCTTTCCTCTTCCTCCCCTCCCCCCTCCCCCTCGTTTCCCTTCCCTCCTACGACTGCGGCATTTTCATTGCCTCCGAAGTCGCAGAACCACCCACCCCAACTAACATGACTTGCTACCCCCCAGAGACCAGTACCCTGCGGCAAATCATCTACAAAACATCTGACCCCCAATGATCGTACACCCCTCCTTCATTTCTATCTACAGTACCCATCAAAATTCAGTCATATTTACCCGTGCTTTCCATACCCTACCCTCCCACCCAAAAATTGAGTACCACCCCACCCAGGGTCAATATTTTATTCCTACCCAATAACTCTTTTTAGGTGAGTTAATAATTTTTAGCTTAATTTTTGAGTAAACTGAAACTTTGAGTAAACTTGAGGCCCGGCCCGGATCCCGGCCGGGCGATGATCCGAGTACGGTACGGTCACTGGCACTGAGTGAGTAAAGAGTCCGTCGCGCGGCCTCCGGATAGAACTCGGAACCGTTGAACGGCGGACCGGGTGCCGCTCACGGTCCTGAGTACTGATGGCCCACTGGGCCAGTCTGGGTCACCGGGCCCGGGGTACTACAGTCACTGAGAGTCGCCCCGGCCAGTACTAGGCTAGGTCCGACTCTCATGTACGGTCTGAACGCGGCTTGCAGGGTGAGAGCGCCTTGCCAAGTTGCCAAGTTGAAACCAGCCGCTATGAGCAGAATGATTCACTGCCCGGCGGCCGCCCGGCGGTTCATTCTGGGGTCAAACCGCGTTGGTCTTTATTAACGCAAAAGAGGAATGCGTATGCTGTTCTCATAGGATACCGGTGGTGGTGTACCCCATCGTTTTTGAGGGGTGGTGCTCGGTAATATCAGTGGTAGGGGTGCTTCAAATTTTGAACTGGCGTGTCCATTTGTTTTAACGGTAATGAATTGTTTATTCGAATCCGTGGTACAAGCAGTTGTACTGAGTAACGGTTTATAACTGCTGATTTGTACCATCTAAAACAATTTTGATGACCCACCCTATCGATGAGGGTGGGGAAACACTCCCCATCATTCCCATCGTCAAATCGCACACCGTCATGCTGAGCCGCCGGGCGAGCACAGCAGCCAGGTCAGCGAGCTGCCACCATGAGCACAGGTGAAGGACTGCCGAGTAAGAAGATGATCGCAAGGTACACTTGGCATCAAGAATCCAGCATAAATTTTTACTTGGTGATCTTGCAGGAGTGGATCAATCTGCATGAGTTCGTCATCCTACATGTCCGACGACTAAGTCAATCGTATCATCAATGTTCTCTTCAAGACTTCTGGGCTCTCAGAGTAATGTACTTTATCTGAAAAGTGAACTGAATAATAATATCTGTAAGATAATGACGAGTTCACTTAAATAAGGCGCAATCACATCTCACTTGACTCCCTCCTCGGCATGTCTTCTGTACGCTTCGTTACATCGTTGCTTCACACGTTCAGAAAAAGTTTGATGATATTTGACTCTTTAAAATATGCCAATTACTTGACTCTCACGAAGCTCTTGTTGAAGTATCTCCCCTCCTCTCTCCAAACTCTCCTCACTCAAGTCCTTTGCATGTTCGCACATTTGGTGAAATGCATGAACTTTGCTTTGCTTCCCTAATGGCGGAGCTGTTGACGTCCAATTAAGCCTCAGATCATATCAGGGATCAAGTCTCGAGCTTGTCAGCTTGCATGCAAGAATCCATTGTGCGTTGCAATCAGACTGACATGAATGTAGAATCAAGGTTGGAGGTGATATCTGATTTGACATTTATTATTCATTCGAAGCATTTATCTCAGGATGTCGAACTACCAGCAAATTGACACTGACTTCCAGTCAATGATAATGACAACCACAATAGCATATGGTGCGCGCACAACAGAATCGAAGCACATGCTGTAGGTGCACTGCCATCCAACACTGTGCCGTTGGGTTTGCTGTCTTCAAGATTTTTCAATATTGTTTGTCACAAAGTGGCAAGGCTTTGAGCATGTGGACATGGATATATACAAGACTATGCATCTTCACAAAGTGGTTTTTAAGTCATGCAACAAGAGATGCATCATTCAAAGGCGGAGAAGTACAAACATGATGTGAACAAGTCATGTGGCACAGTGAAGCATCTCTCATAAATATGATATTCCATCCAGTACATGAAGATGAAGGTCTTCGTGGAATAAAGGTCTTGGAATCTTGTAATCATGTGCGTTTCAGCTGCAACCATTCAGAACCTAGTTATCAACATCGCCATGCTTTTGCTACTTGTTCACAACGATTAAAAAATGAACAACCCACAGAAGAACTCTCTACCTGTGTGATGTAATGAGTTCATTTGCACCTTTTCCTCTCACAAAATACTTTCGAGTCTCTTCATGCTCGTGTCACAGTGTGTTCGTGGTATGCTCGTCCCCATCAATGGATGCGTTCAACAAACCAAACTTTGAAAACAGATTATGGCATTGTAACATTTTCACCAACCGGCACAGCGGGTTTGACGAAGAGAAATATTGATGAGGCTCACCTGCTGCAAGTGACTGCAACTTGGGCAAACATGCTCGCACAAAACTCAAACACTGAAGACAAGGATCGGCAGAGAAGAGCTTCGCGACATGAGAGCAGAATGGTGAGGGGAGACGCGCTGGGGTAGTGGGTGGAGGCGTGTAGAATTAAAACATTTTAGAAGGTACCAAGAAACGATAAGCTAAACTTCCAAAAATCACTTTTAATCACGGTTTTGAATTTGGTTTGAATTTCAACAGTACAGAATTTCAACCTGCGCAAATCACACGCCGTGTACCCCCATTTTCCCATGCACCACCCCCTTGAAGATATAGGGCGAAAACAACTGGCAACGCGGTTTGACCCCAGAATGGTTATTTCAAAGTTTGGTCGCGGCTGCCGCTGTACCGTATGATAGGACGCCGCCGCCGGCCGGGCCCGATCCGGGACACTGCGGCTCGGCGGCTCGGCTTCCGAAGTTCAACTTGACTCGGTCCGATCGGATGATCGGATCATACTTTTTTACTCAAAGTTAAGTTAAAAATCAGTACGAGGACAATCAGGAGAGTCGAGGAGGCTTGACCCTGACACTGTCGCACAGGCCAAACGGCGAGAAGAGAAAAGACAGCGAGAACCAAACCTAAACCTGCCGACTGCTGTCCCCCAAACTTAACTGATACCTTCACTTCGGATCAGTCGGCCCGGGCCGACGGTCACGCGGGGCCCGGGCCGGCGCCGGGCCCTGCAGCACCGTCTCACTGCCGCAGTGCGATCTGCAGTCAGTCAGTCCGATCAGCCAGATTCCAACAATGATAAGGTTGAATTCAAATTTCAGAGAGATATTACGTGATAAGTCTTGAAATATCAAATATGGATCATTTTTTCAAAAAATCGTTTTCAACTGCCAATCCCACCCCACCCCACATCAGAAATAGTTCCCAACCCCCTCCTATCACATACTACCCCTGTCCCCCAGCTTACCTGGCTAGTACCCCCCGTATTTATCTTATTGATACGGTCAGACACCTACCCACCCCCTTCTCCATCAGGGTACTCAAGTTGTTACACCCCCTCTTTTCCCAATGTCTACCCCTACCCCTTCGTTTACCTTCGGGATCTGCATGGTCGGGGATGCGCTCTAAAGTGTGGGAAGATGGCGATGGGTACTATGAAGTACCGACAGGAGAACGACTGGTGCGGCACATGCTGCTTCCCTCCTCCTCCTCCTCCTCTCCCTCTCCACCCTGCTCTCCCTCCCCTCCCTTCCTGTGCTTTGCCGGTCCGCTTCCCTCTCCTTCTCGGTTGTTTTTCCCTCTGTTGCTCTTCCTTGAACTCTCCTTCCTTGGAGTTGTCGAGCAGCGATATCAGTACATGATCATATTCCACCATGTCATCCATGAAATATCTCCTCCTCTTCTCACGATGCTCCTGTTCTCGTGAACACGCAACCGGTGAAACTTTCCTCGACTAACCTTCGGGTCTCGGGGAAGGTTTTCTCCGGGAAGGGCGAAGGAGCGGACATGGTATACAACGTTCCTTCAAGCTTCTCCAAGGTGAGGACATGTCATAACCTCTTGCCTTTCTTCTGCATACATCTTTTGCTCAACTTCGGCTCAATGGGCCAGTGCGGAAAACTTACTTTTGACTGTTGTTTCTCTCCTCCTGTGTATCGATGACTTGCTGCAGGTTTCATCTCCTTCTAAGAAGCCTACTTCAACCATGGGGACGTCAGATCGCTTCCTCTCACCGGGATCCTACCTATCCAAGGTAGTGGGACGAGGATGGGAGCTAGAGGAGTTGACGGTGCTTTAGTCTACCAAGGAGCTTCCTGGACCTGGAAGCTACAGCTCATCAGTGTCACCAAAGCCGAGCTCAAGGTGAGACCATGGAAACGAAAGGGGGAGGAGGATGGGGAGGGGAAGGAGCGAAGGGAGGAGAGGAGGAGGTGGTAGTTGAGGACGAGTGAAGGACGAGAAGGAGGGCGAGAAGAGTCCGCACGTGTGGATGGAATGGCCTAGGCAGGTTTGAGAAGGAGACTACGAGGAGAGGAGCAGGTGTTGCGGAGGAGTGCTTGTAAGTTGCAAGCAGGAATGGGACGCTCGGGAGTGTGCGATCGATGGATCGTCTAGACTTCGGGCCCAAGGGAGAGGGAGCAGACGCAGGTGACGCGAAGGGAGAAGAGAAGGAGAAGAATGCAGTGGTAACGATGAGCAGTTTACGATGCCAAGGTCAACACGTTCTCGAGCAAGGGAGGGACGAGAGGGTTTGGAAGCTCGGAGAGGTTTGGCAAGGTGAGTACCGGAAGTGTGTTAGGAGGCGATGATGAGAGGAAGGGAACGTGAACTTGGAGCATGGCGAAGGCTCGCAAAGAGGCGAAGTGATGCTGTGAGATGGTGATGGTGATGGTGATGGTGACTTGACCATCTTGATGATGGAAATGGTGCTGATGATGATGACGACGACGACGATGATGATGATCTTGATTTCGTGACGATGACGATGATGTAGTTTGGAGCCTACATCCGATCGGACGATTGTCCTGGACCAGGATCGTACACTCCCAAAGCTGCAGCAAGTGAACTCAACGGCACTGTCCTGCTCCTTCTTACCCCCCGATCGCAGAGCAACCGCATGTAGAAGGAAGAGCCTCTCCTCCTCGTTCCCCCTCCACCAGGCTCGACTTCACGAAGGTGCCCGTGCTCTCCCTCCCTCTCCTCCTCCTGCGTTCCCTCCTCTCTTCCTCAATCTCTGTTGTCTTCGTCCTCCTCCCCTCCCTGCATCGCCTTTGCTGCGCTCCTCATCCGCGCTCGTAGATCTCGGGAGCTTCTGAGAGTCCTGGGCCCATCTATACGGTCAGATCAAGTTTCGATAACAGCACAAAGGCTGAGGTATGGCACGCTTGCTTTTGTCTTACATGGTCCTCTCCTCCCTCTTGTTCTCTCCTCCTCCCCCTCCTCGTTCTCCTCTTCTCCTCTCCTCCTCCTCCTCCTCTCCTGTCCTCCTCGTCCTCCTCGTCCTCCTGTCCCCCCCTCCTCGTCCTCCTCTGCCTCCATATTTATGATATTTCTGCTTAGCGACCAACCAGTGCGTTCGGGTCATCTGATCGCTTTCAATCAGTGGGATCGTAAGACCCCTCTGTCCTCGCCGATCCTCTTCCTCCTCCTGCACTACCACCACCACCACTCCTCTTCTTTCTCCTCGTCGTCCCTCCATCCTCCTCTTCACCTCCATCTCTTCTGGTTACGTTGACCTGCAGATACCTGTCCATGAAGGATGTACCAGGTCCTGGAACTTACCAGAGCGAGAGGTAGGAGGAAGAGGAGGAGGGAAAAGCTCGTGGACGAAAGGCGGAGGATGAGCAGAGGAAGGCAAAGAGGAGGAGAGGGAGAGGGGAGGCAGTACGGAGGGAGGGAGGGAGGGAGGGATAGTAGAGGAGGAGGAGGAGGAGGAGATATGGGATGAATGCTGGGGAGCTGACTTACTCTTGCAGTCCTCTGAGGAGTCAAAGAAGTTCCGGACCACCAAGTTCACCATCAACAGCTCGCAGGGCGGTATGCACCATCAACCCCCTCCCCCCCCTCCCTCAATCACGAGGATACAGGGTCCTCCTCTTCCTTCATCCTCCTTGTCGTATGGATGTTCCTCGTCGACATGCCCTAGCTCTGACTCACATTCATGTTTCTCCTCTCCTACTCTCCCTCCCTCCCTCCCCCTCCCCCTCCTTCCTCCTGATCAAAGTAAGATTGGCTCTAGTCTTCAGATCGGATCAATTTCGGACCAAGGGGTGAAGGTGCAGAACCTGCGTACAAGGTTCCATCCTTCTTGCCCACCCATCTCATGTCTCTCTCCTGTTTTGCTGTCCTGCTATCTCACCCCTCCTCCCCTTTCCTCAGTCACCCCCCGCCCCGCCCCTTTCCCTCTCCTCTCCCTCCCCTTTCCCCTTCCTCCTCCTCCTCCTCCTCCCGCTCCTCTGATTCTTCTGCTGGACACATCAGGTTCAGTCATCCTTCGAGAAAGCCGCAGCGAAGCGACAGGTATCCCGTCCTTCCTTTACGCCCCTCCCTTCTACTTTCCATCCTCTCGCTTCCTTCCCCTCCTGTTGTCCCCTCCACTCATCTCCTCTCCCTCCTCTCTCTCCCTCTCTCCCTCTCTTCCTTCCCCTCTTGTCTTCGTGTTCTCCTCCTCCCCTTTTCTTCCTACGTTTCCTCATCCCTGCCTCTCACATGGTCTCGCAGGCTCCTTCCTCCTCCTTCGGTACCTCAGGCAGGTTTGACCGCCATGGCTCCTACATAAGGGGCGAGCTTGCCGATTCTCCGGGACCGGTATCCCCTTTCCCCTCCTTCTTTCCATATTCCATCTCTCTCCCAAACTCGTCTCTTCCTCTTCCTTTTCGCCTCCTGGTCTCGTGCTTTCCTCTTCCGTCTTCTCCTGTCCCCTTTCTTTCCTCCTTCCTGTCCCTCTCCCGCTTTGCCCCTCACGTTCATCTCCAGGGCACCTACGTGAAAGAAGTTGCCGTGTCGAGCAAGGGCTTACAGTCGCCTCCTCGTCGTCAAACCACTCCGAGCAAAGAGCGGCTCAACTTCGGTCCTTCGGGTAGGGAGGAAGCAATCAAGGAGGAAGGGCAGTAGAACTAGTAGGAGAGGAAGGGGGAGAGGGAGGCAAGACAGGAGGTAGGTAGGTAGGGGTGGTAGGTAGCAGCAGCAGCAGCTGGAAGACACTTGGAGGCTAACAGGGGAGCAGGGGAAGGAGCAGCGCACATGTACAACATCCCCTCCTCCTTCGAGCAGGTTGTTTCCGTCCATCGGCAACTCATTCCCCTCATGCTCCCT